CAATTTGATGAAGTTGACCTACACCTATGGATGCAGTAGCTCAAAAGAGGGAACAAATCTTTACAGCAAGGATCATTCCCACCTCCTCCATACACAGAGTAGATAGGGATGGGCAACTTGGACATTGGCTACCCAAAATGGGGGGGATACAAAGGCAAGAAGTGACTAGTTTACCAGCTTTCAAGAGGGAGCCTAGATCCAGAGGGTGCAGAGGAAGGTAGAATCTCCACTGAGTAGTATCCAATCTGTCTGGGTGGGGCTGACGAAAGGAGATGGGGCTAGCATTCATGTGGCACAATAGTGAATAATTGCTATCAGGACTGACTGTGAGGGTTGGAAATGTAAAGGGAGACGTTTTGTAGCAAAAGGAAGGGAGTGATTGACTTTGCAGTCCAGGAGCAGAGGTCCTTGGGACCATCAAAGGAGAAGAGCGGAATGCGGGACCCTACCCAGAGAAGAAGTGATGCCAGGGATGACATGGAGACAAGGAGCAGCTGTGAACTCTAGACCCAGAGAGGGACAGAGATTGTGTGCTGATGACCAGGGGGCAGGCTTGTGGGGTATACCCTTTGGTTCATTGATGATGCATGGAGGGGATTGTAACCATGGCAATGAAACAATGTAGGATAGGATGAATGTAAAACTAACGTTCTCCCATGTAAACTATCACATAATTCACAATAAAACATAAAAAAAAGAGTAAGACAGACTGTAATGTGAGTTAAGTGTAATTGTTTGTTAGCTCTACCATTTTCTGCTGAGTGACACTTCCTGCCCCCAGTAAATTGAGTGTCAGCTTGCTTATCAGTAAATTGGAGACAGACCTCACAAGTTAACTCTTCTCTTTAAGGAACAGGAACCTGTGTCCAACATTTGACACAATGCTGAGTCCACAGGAGGAGCTTAATATATTTGTCAAAAACAGTGAAATGTTTCCATGAACATGTTTGAAGTACTCCGGGATAAATGAGAGGTCACAGTCAGTATATTCTCCCCAACCCAATGAAGGCAGAATGCAATAATGCTGTGCCACGACACAATCTTAAACAAGTATTGAGGCAAGCAAGCCTGAGGCAATAGGCGTTGGCCCCCCATGTCCCCCAGGCTCATAGCTCATTCCTGGAGTAAGGTTCACATTCCAGGAAATAAGCCACAGACATCTCAGCCTCATGTGATTACCCAGACTAATCTCCTGTTACTGACCCACCTACCGGAGGGAACAGAGCCCCCAGCTAATATTCACCTGCTTCCTGCTTCCGCTTCTGCAAATGCTTAATTGTATGCGCATACATCCTTCCCCACCATATGTCTGAACCAACCAATCCCAGGTAGCCCCATGAAGCTGTTGGCCCCCAGCTAATCAATCCCAAATGAACTCACGTTTATACCTCCTATTCCCTACAAAATATCCTCACACAGAGAAGATGGGCTCAGTGTCTGGATACTAGTCCACTGAGCCACGTGCTAGCACAATAAAGCCCTTCCTTTGTTACAACCTGCAAGGCATTGTTCAGCTCCTTCAGAGAGACTCCGGTAACAATATTTCTCAACTATGAAGGTCTAGAGACAATAACAGTTTTAGAAACTCTTTAGCTGTTGAAAATTAGAGAGGTTGTGAACATAGATTTGCTTCTGTCTGAAGACACTGAAATGAATTGAGGTGACCCCAGTGGTCATTTAGCCTTATGATCTGACGAACTGATTGATTTCCTAAGGCAGCCAGGGATGTGGGGTTAGACATGGAAATGTACCCAAGCATGCTTGCCAATATGTCAAGATACTCAAGATGCCTGCTTTTCTAGTTTGCCGTATCAGATTTCCTTCAGATTGGGATGTTCTTCTAAAAACAAAAGCACATCTATGTTTATTTTGCTTCACCTCAATATTTGTGCTCCTGGTTGACCTCATTCCTATCTCAGAAGTTCTTTCACCAAATTCTGTCCAAACGACAAGCGTCACTAAAGCCTGGGCCATCAACGTTTATAGAACCACAGCAAACATTCTCCATGTTTCATTAACAGTCACGTGTTTCCAAGTCATAAGCAGAATTACCTTTTCTCGAATGGTCTCTCCGGGAGCCAGCTGAGGCTCGATGGTGATGAACAGGGTGATGTAGGAGCCTTCACTGAGACTTCGGGCAGAATCAAAGCCTCGCTCTATCATTGTGTTTCGTTCCTTGCTGTATCCCAGAAGAACAGGGGGCATGTCGATTTTAAATGTTCCATCAATCTGTGAAGGAAAGGTGACTTTGGTATACATGTTGGTGATTTTCCAACAGAAGTTCAAAGGCAGTGTTAACTCCCTATTATCTGTTAAATTAAAACAAAACAAAAACCTGCTCAGACTGGCATTCAAGGTCCCCCTGCCCCCTCTAGCTTTGTCTTTCTAAGCTCTGGCCTGAAAGGGCTTTATACTTTCCTGCCTTCTTTCCTTTTTTGGCACTGTGGTTTAAGCATTGGGTTGCTAACTGCAAGATTGGTAGTTCAAACTCACCCGCTGCTCCATAGGAGAAAAATGAAGCTGTCTGCTGCTGGTGTGACACTGTAGGATCAGCACTAGACTGCGAACCACAAGGTTGGCAGTTCAAACCCACCAGCTGCTCCTTGGAAACCCTATACAAGGTCTCTATGAGTCGGAATCGAGTCTGTGACGCTTAGCATCAACAAACAACAGCTCCAGTAAAGATTTACAGTCTCGGATACTTTATATAGGGTTGTTAGGAGACAGAATTTTGGGGGGTTTGATTTTTTTTTAATTTATATTGGTTAAAGGAGACCTGGTGGCACAGTAGGCTGCTAACTGCAAGGTTGGCAGTTCAAACCCACCAGCCACTGTGCTGGAGAAAGATGAGGCAGTCTGTTCCCACAAAGATTCAGTCTCAGAAACCCTAGGGAGCAGCTCTCTACTCTGTCTTAGCAAGTCGTCGCTATGAGTTGGGATCAACTCAACCGCAGTGGGTTTTTGTTTTGGTTACAGGCTGATTTTTAGACAAATTGATACTGGTCCTAGGTTGCCTGTTCCAAGTTTGGTTTAACCTCCAAGTGCCTCATTTTCCTCATGTGTAAAAAGGAGAAAACAGTAGTATCTAATAGAGTTGTTCTGAGTAATAAATGAGTTAATAGATGCAAGACACTAAGAAAAATGTCTGTCAAAGCTAAAACGAAACACCCCAAACACTGCATTTGGGTCAATTCCATCTCATAGTTATCCCATACAGGGTTTCTGAGACTGCAAAACCTTTTGAGGCCCGATAGCCTCCTGTTTCTTCTGTGGAGCTGCTGATGGCTTTGAACCACCAACCTTGAGGCTAGCAGTCTGATGCCTAGCTCACAGTGATAGCTGGCAACCATTCCCTTTTTCTAGAATGCCCTGTAGCTTTCTGTCTCTAGTAGTCAGAATTTTCACCATCTTTCCCATGCTATCTCCTTCATGGGTTCTTTTGTTATCTCTACTGTCTTCCCAGGAAGTTTATTTCTTTAATTTGTCACATGAACACATCCTCCCTGACTGTACAGCTGTGTGGCTCTATTTCTTCCCACAGATTTGTTTGTTCTTCTAGCAGTCCCTGGTAGTTTTAATATTCTTCTCCAACACCATAACTTAAATGCATCCATTCTTCTACAGTCTTCCTTAGTCATTGTCCAACTTTCACATGTGTGCGAGGCTATTGAAAATACCAGGGCTTGCGTCATGTGCCCCTCAGTTCTCAAACTGACATTTTGCTCTTGAGCTTGTTCAAGAGGTCTTGTGCACTAGATTTTCCTGCTGTTTCCAGGAGTATTGACAGTGGATTCAAGCAAAATGAAGTTTTTGACAATTTCAATCTTTTCTCCATTTACCATGATACTATTTATGGGTCCAGTGGTGAGAGTTTTTGTTTTTTTCACATTGAAGCTAACCCAAATTGAAGGTGTGGCCTTCGATCTTCACCAGAATGTATTTTAAATCCTCTCTGCTTTCAGCAAGCCAAGTGCTGTAGAGTCAGTTCTGACTCATACTGACCCTGTATACGGTTTCTGAGGAGAGGCTGGTGAATTGGAACCACTGACCTTATGGTTCAAACTGACCTTTGGTCCAGTCCAGTCCATATGGACATTTCAGATTGTTAATGAGTCTTCCTCCAATCCTAATGCCACGTTCTTCTTTGTATAATCCAGCTCGAATGATTTGCTCAGCATACAGATTGAATATGTATGGTGAAGGAATATAAACCATTCAGTGTCCTTTTGTTCTGTTCGAATGACTGCCTCTTGGTCTATGTACAGGTTCCTCATGACCACAATTAAGTGTTCCAGAATACCAATTCTTCTCAATGTTGTGCAAAGCTTGTCATAATCCACACAATAGAAAGCCTTTGTATAGTCAATAAAGCACAGGTAAACATCTTTCTGGTATTCTCTGCTTTCAACCAAGATCCACAAGACGTCAGCAAGGATATTCCACCTTCCATGTCCTTGTCTGAATCTGGCTTGAATCTGTCAATGTACTATTGCATCCATTTTTTAGTTATCTTTAGCAATATTTTACTTGCATGTAATACTAATGATATGATATGATAACTGCATTCCATTGGGTCACCTCTCTTTGGGATGGGCACAAACATGGATTTCTTCCAAACATTTGACCAGGTATCTGTCTTCCAAATTTATTAGCATAGATGAGGGAGTGCCTTCAATGCTGCATCAGTTTGTGGAAACATTTTAATTTGAAGCCTTGCTCTTTACCGATGTTTTCAGTGCACTTTGGACTTCTTCCTTCAGTAACATTGCTCTTGTTCATATGTTAACTCTTGAAAAGGTTGAGCATCATTCATTTCTTTTAGGTACAGTGACTCTGAGTATTCCTTCCATCTTTCTTTGATGCTTTCTGCATCATTTAATACCATAGAATCCTTCATTATTAGAAGTTGAATTTTTCTTCACTTCTTTCTACTTGAAAAATGCTGAGTGTGTTCTTCCCTTTTGGTTTTCTAATTCCAGTTTGTGCATATTTCATTATAAAACTTACCTTTGTCTTCTAGAACTATCCTTTGAAATTTTCTGTTCAGCTCTTAGCCTTTTTCTTCCATTTCCTTTGGTTTATTTCTATTGTATGCTGGACAGCGTATTTCAGACTCTCTCTTCAGACATCCATTTTGTTCTTTTTCTTTCCTTTTCCCTCTTTCCTTCTTTCCTCCCTCCCTCCCTCCCTCCCTCCTTCCCT